CTGCTTTCAGTCCTCCCGATTCCTCAGCAACCCCTCCTGCCCCTCCTCACCCAGATGCCCCTGCTGCTGCCAAGGTGTATACGAGAGGGGAGAGAGGGGAGGATGTTAGTTTATTTACTGATGGCCTGTGGGTCTCACTTGTAACTGACACCCTCCATCCACCCCCCCACCCAGAGTCTGGAGCAGAAGGGGGGGGCCCTCCCGCCAGCACCAAGGGGAAGGTCATGGGGAAAGGAGGGGGAGGGGCAGCTCAGGGGAAGGAGGCAAATATTCCTCCAGCCCCCCCACCCTGCCCCATGCAAACCACACACACGCGCCCGCCCTCCCCTCCTGCCCCCCAAACACAACCACCGCACAAACTGTAAATGTGAGAATTTCCCCTGCAGTCAGCTCGAGGAGGAAAAGGTAACATTTTCCTGGCCTCGGCCCTGCATGGCTAATGGGAGGGCTGGTTTGCAGAAATAACAGTGCTGGCCCTTCAGTGGCCCAGCCAGGCGTTCACAATAGCACTTTCATTCCGAAATTCCCGGTGGGCAGAGGGAGGGAGGGAAAGGGGGAGGGAGGCCGCTGGTGAGGGGCAGAGAAGCTGCACTGTTTGGGGCTGCTCCTGCTAGGAAGGGACAGCTGAAAGGTAGAAGGGCGATGGGAGGTGGGCAAGGGCAACCCAGGCCTGGACGGGTCACACACACCTTGTCCAGTGCGGGGTCCCAGGAATTCCCAGGGGGGACTTCGGCTGCCAGCTCCCATCACAGGGTTATGGATAAAGGCAGTGTTCTCTGTCTCGGCCTTCCACCCTGGCCTCCTTAGGATTCTAGGTTCAGCTCTTGGTCAAAAATCTTATGGGCTGGGAGTGGGGGCCCTGTCCCCAGACCCCAACACTGGCCAACTAAGGGGCCTTACAGAACAGCAAGGAGCCCACAGGGTGAGCAGAGAGTGGCACGTGGAGGCTGAGCGGGCTCACGGGAAAGTAGAAAGATAACTGTGGCCACCAGGCCTCGGGGGTGGGGGGAAGGCTGGAGGTGGGGGCAAGCAAGGACAAAGAAGCCACACCTGGCCCAGAGTCGGCCAGCCCAGGGCCCCCTGAGGGGTGCTGACATGGAAAGCATGAAGGCCGGGGCTGGCCAGGCCCCAGTGCGAGGGAGACCTGGGCTCCAAGGTGGGCATGTAGAGGGGCAGTAGGGCAGAGGCCACACTGACCAGAACGGCAAAGTCAATGCCAGCTGGGCCCTAAGGGGCAGTGGGTGGCGGGAAAAGGCGGGCTGGGTGCCCAGAGGCCTGATTTTAACCCCAGATCATCCACCAACTTGCTGTGCGATCATGGCCAAGTCACCCCCCAGGCTCAGCGTCCTCACCTATAAAATGGCGAGGTTGAGCCTGGTGACCCCTTTTTTCCTTTCAATGTACACAGCACATAAACCCCAGGAGCCATATGTCCCTAAGCAGATGCTATCCCCTCCAAGAAGCCCAGAATCTGGCACTGCACGAGTCCCCCGGTGCCTGCCAGGCCCCCACTGACACACCCTACAAGGGCTATGGTGGCCCAGGAGGGGCCATCTTGGGGTTACCAAAAGGGGAGCTCTCAGGGCCCCAGTGCAACCCTAGGAGTAGCCAGGCTGGACCCACCGGCAAGCCCTGCCCTGCCCCAAAGGTTACATTCCCTGCGCCCTCTAGCGATGGCCGACTGAATAGCGCCTTCTGGAGCCTTCGGGAGGGCAGGGAGGACTCCAGGAGACCTGGGACTGAGCCAGGCACTGAAAGGGCCAAGGGTCCACACCTCAGGAAGCCCACAAACACCTTGAACTTGCAGTCCCCCACCCCCACCCCAGGCTGGGCTTCCAGAAAGAGAACTGCAGCCAGGAGCAAGGCTCTTAACTTGACCCAACAAGAAATCTAACTTCTGGAGTCTCTTTTTCACCTGGATGTGCCAGGGCTCTCCTCAGAGCCCCCTGAGGTGGAGAAACTACCCGAATGAGAAGCCACGCAAAGGCAGTTTCGGGCACTCCGGGACCAAGGGGCTTCGCTTGTGAGTCCCCAAGGCCAGGCGCCTGCCTCTGGCCGGCTGTTCCATAGGCACTGGGCCTCCCAGGCCCCAGGAAAACTCCAGGGCCTCATCCCTGGGTCTGTGCCCAGGGTTAACAACGGGGCACTTCCCGCAGCAGGGGCAGCCCCCACCACACAGGCCAGGAGGAGGCGGAGGTGCTGGCCAGGGCAGAGGGAGGCTGCAGTGGGGCGGGCGGGGTCAGGACTCGGGCATGTGGGAAGGTGCCCAGTGGAGCCGCTCAGTGTGAAGAAAGGAAGGGCTCCCGGCCCCCAGAGCCGCCTTCCCTGACCACAACAGTAACAGCAGCCAGGGCGGCTTTGTCCCCCTCTGGGCTTCCCTTGGAATTCCCAACAGTGAGCCAAGAACGCTGGGCAAAGGTCATCGGGAACCAGGCCTGGCCCCGGCAAAGCCCCGCAGAGGGAGCAGCAGGTATGGACTCTCTACCAGGGTTAAAGCCAGGGAGGGCCAGGGCAGAGGGTCGGGGAGACCTGGGAACTCTCAGCCACAGGCTGGGCAGGCTGGGCTCCTGCCTTTAGGATGTGCTTGGAAACCCTGCCCCTGCCCGTGTTGGTTTCCCCAACAACACTGCGGCTCAGGAGTCCACATCCCTGGTTCTCCTTCTCCCCTGGATGAGAGATGATGCCACAATGAGGTGGGGAGGGGAGGGAGGGGGGACCACCAAGGGGCTTGTCAAAGCTCAAATTCCCTAGAATTGATTTTACAAATCCTTCCTCCTCCCCCCTCCCGCCTCTCACCCGGTGCCCCTGGGAGGGGAGTCACTCAGTGAACCCCCAGGGCCCTGCATACAGCTATGCCCAGCCAGATAACCTCCCCCTTCTCTGCTGGCCGCTACGGATGGACAGACAGATTGAGATGGATGGGCAGCCCCAGAGCTGGAAGAGCCAGAGAGGGATCCCACTCCCTGGGCCAGTGACTCAGACTGGGAGGAATGGAAGCGGCTGCCCGGGAGGGTGGGGGCCGAGGCAGGCCACCCCGCCAAGCCACCGGAGCCGTGGCCTTAGGAGTGGAAAGAATAACAGAGGGCACGCAGCCACCGGGGCAGCTGTCGGCACAGCACAGGGGTGACGCCAAGGTGTGTACTTTATACTCGAGCAAGAGGGAGGACAAGAGAGGACGTCATCTTCCCAGCCGCCTGGCATTTCCACTGGGCCTGGACTGCACCCTGGCTGCCTCCTGCGCCAGCCCCTACTCAGCCCCTCTGGTTGGGAGGGGCTGGCCCAGACCTCCTGGCCTATGCGTGTCCCTCTGGGCTCCCAGCATCTGTAGAAACAGTGTACCTGTCCCCCATCTGCCTCCAGCTCTGATCACCTCCCCTCACTCTTCCACACACCACAAGAGCACCCAGTGCGGGAGAGGAGGACAGCACTTGGCAGAGCCACAGACACTGACAAGGTCTGCCCACCCATTCCTCTTCCAGCCATAGTGAACCCCCCCGCCCCCCGGAAAGCTGAGGCCCAAAGGGGAAGGGCCTCCCAAGGTCACGTCCAGGCCATGATTGGCCACACCCACCAGGATCCCTGAACCCCCTGCCTGGCACCATTCCTAGCCCCATCAGGCCCTCTACTCAACCCCAAGGCTCTGACAGAGCCCTGAGGGGGACCCCCCTCTCTGGCCCAAGTTTATTCTAAGGGCAAGGCCAGCTGTCCGGGCTACTCTGTTTTGCTCTCAGTATTTCTCAGCCCCTGGAGACACGGTCCCAATCCCTGCCCTTCTGCCTGGGAACCTGGAATGGATACATCAGTGGCAAAAGGGGCTCAGGGTTAAGCACCCACCCCCTCCCCACCAAGGCCACACTTGTCTCCCAAGGCTGAAGAGTGAACAAGCACATCAGCATCGCAGGCACAGACCCCTCCCCATCCTGGGAGGAGGACACAGAACAGAGGGAAAAGGGAGGGGGTGGCCCCCAGCCCCAGCCAACCCACCCTCCCACTGTTTGGCACAAGGGCACAGAGAGGGAGGCACCGCTCCCAGGCGCCCTGGAGGCTGGCTGTGGGCTCCTCCCCCACTGACCTTCAGAGACATCCGTTCCTGCCACCTGCCCCCTCCATGGCCCCTGTGCCCACCAGCTGGTGCTATAGTGACTTTTAGGTGAAGGACTTCAGCTGGTGGGACAAACGTCTATGCCAGGAGGCCCTCCCAATAATAGAGGTGCCTGGCTATGCATGCCTCCCTCCTTCCCATTCAAAGCAGGTGGGAACTTCTGCTCTGAGCTGAGCCTCGTGGAAATGACTTCAAAGTCACTGGTCCAAAGGCCACCTAGAGATAGGCCTGGCTGGCCTCCCCCCAGGACCCTGCAACCACGGCCCTCCTGGCTCTGCCTGCCTGCGGAAGCATCTCCTGGCTGCTCCACCCCCGCATAAATGCACAGGGTTTCTGAGAGGAGTACAGTGATCCTGAGCCTAAGCTCCACCCCCGCCCAGGATGGGGCCTAAAGGGTTAGTGAGAGTCCCTCCCTCCAAAGCCTGGGGAGCCCTTGCCCCGCCTCAGCCTCTGCCACAGAAGTCCTTGTAGCCAGGGATTGGGAAGGAGAGGCAAGAAGACTACTCCTGGGTCTCCCCAGTCCAGGGGTCCCAGGCCAAGTGCACCTCTAAGTTCTGGGAAGACCACTGTCTGAGGTGCCTGGAAGCTTCTGGCCCCTTGGTGCAGACCCAGCCTTATCTCTGGAAGAGGAAATGTCTGACCATTCCACCCCCGCCCCCAATCATTCCTACCAGACTCGGCCCACCCTTCCGGGACAAACCCCAGCCTCTCTGCACACAAAAAGAAGGCGGGGGGCGGGGGGGGCGCCTCCTCCATCCATCAGGGGCACTCCAGGTGGGGGAAGTGTAGCAGAGGAGGAGGGACAGAGTTTGGTGGTGGCTGTAGGGACACAGGCCCGGCTTTCAGAGAGGACTATTTTAGACTGGGAAAGACTTTTCGAACTTTCTCCCTGGCAACCCCTCCCCTCTTGGCCCTAGACAACCAGGGCAGCCGGGGCTAACACCTGGATTCGGTGATGGCCATGAGGAGTCCCTTCCCAGAACATCTGGTCAGACCTCCCAGAGAAGGAGTGGGTCACCGGCCCCAGTGGAAACAGTGACGCTCCTAGTTACCCCGCCAGCTGGGCCCCAGCACACCTGGGCCTCACTTCCTGCGAATGCATCCTAACCAGGCCTGGGCCTGGCCCAGCAGCCCCCTCTCCAGGCACGTCCCTGACTGCAGCGTGAACTGGAGAAGGCAGTGAGTGGCACCCGGCAGCCCCCGCCCTGGCTGCACTGGGTCCACTGGGTGTTGGGTCCAGCAGATTGGCCATTCTCTCCAGGACCAACATGTGCCCCTGAGTATCCTCCTCTCATCCCTCCAGCTACACTCTGCTTTTTGTGGGCAAGGACCAAGTTTCCTGCTTTATATCTGTATCTAACCCAAGGCCTTCTATTTAGTTCAGGAACACCAAATAGAGAGATTATCCATGCACTTACTGTAGGACCATGTGTACACAGGTCACACAGCAAGAACACAATTAGTACACACTAAGGGAGGGCCCTGCATTGGTTCCCAAGCCTGTGTCACCCCATGAAGGATGAACTTCATTATGGCTGCTCCCCATGCCCAGGGAGCTAGAGGGCAAGGCAAGTGTATGCCCCGTGTAGGCCCCATAGGGGTCCTCAGTTTTTGCTCCCAGCCCTGTCCCACCACAGCCCTCTCTCCCCCTTCCCTGTGTATTCCTCTGACATTGGTCATCTACTCCATCTTGCTCCTCCTCCACTCCTCCCAAATCAACAACAGGAGCCCAAAACCTTGGGGCTTTCCAGGCAGGCCGTCCCCACCTGGAGGCCCAAGGCCAAGTCAGGCAGAGGGTGGCTGGTTCCACAAGGCAACAGCCTCACCCAGAAGCTCTCTGAATGCCCAGGGGCTCACACTCAGGTCTTGACCAAGCCTTCTTCCTCCCAGGATCCCTTCCCATCCCCACCCTCCAGCGTCTGCCAGCCCCAGGTGGGCAGGACTGAGTAGGACTCCTCTTGATAGCCCGGAAGGAAACACCTCTTCCCATGGAGGAATGTTCAGGACTCCACCTGCCTTTGCTATGTCTCCTGGACTGAAGTCTCTCAAACTCTCTGAGTCTCAGTGTTCCCCCCTGCGAAGGGGAAAATAATTACTTTCTTGTCAAAGACTCTATAAAGATAAAAGGAGAAGCAATCGAGTTCTTTGGAGCTGGGTTTCTGAGCCTCAGCCTCCTTCCACATTCTTTGGGATGAGCTTTTGGTGGAGCCACAAACACTAAGGAAAAAAAAGTGTCCAAGATATTTGAAAAGCCCCCATTCCTGGGCCTACAGCCCCCTCCCAGCCGCTTCCCAGAACACCCCCCTCCAATGTGACCAGGGCCCTGTTAGCGGCTTCCTGCTCCAGGGAGGCCATGAGAGAGAAGACTTCGGGAGTCCCTTTCCTGTCCTGAAATACATGTTTTATGGGAGGAGGGGCGTTGGTGGTGAGCGCTGACCAGCCCACTCCACGCGGGTTTTCCTCCTGTGGTCTGCTACGGAGAACTACTCTTCACAGGCCTTTCCGAAGACATCAAATACTATAAGACGAATTCCTACATTCCCTGAGACCACCTCACACGCAGACTTCCGGCCGAGGGGGGCTGCCCACAGTCGCCCCCTCCCCTCTCCTGGGCTCTGCCACTCTACGCAGAGATCAGAGGCTGCCTGTTGGTTTCCTTCAGGTTTCAAACCTGAGTACTCTGACCCAATGGGGGGGAAAAAAAAAAGGAAGCAGGAGAGGTCCTGCAGTCTCCCCCACCCGCTTCTGCACGCCCTAAGCCCGAAAGCCCGCTCCCCGCCCGCCGGCGGCTCAGCTTTCGGGTTACTGCAGTTCAAACAGCACGTGCCGCCCGCGCTCCGAGCCGCGGCGGCTGCAGCGGCGGCGGTTCCGCCCCGGGAGGGGGCGGGGAGGTTCGCTCGCGGCGCGCTGGCTCTCCTCCTTCGCGCCTCTTGCAGGCGCTCGGGAAATCCACAGGATAAACACCCACTTTCTCTTCCCCTTTATGGGAGGGGGTAGGTGCGCTTTGATCCCCCGCCGCGCCTCCGCTGCTCTCCCATCCCCTCGTCCTGCCCCCACTGTCCAGACCCGCGCGCGTCGTGGCCCCAATTTCACCTCGCCGCTCCCAGACAGAGCCCTGGAACCGCTGCGCACAAGGTGCCCCCAGCCCCTGCGCCTGCTGGCGTCGCCATGAAAGCAACCTGTGGCAGGCAGGCTAGGTTTGATTTTAGAATGACCCGTCGGAATTCACGGGGGAACCATGGCAAGAAGGGGAGACCCAGCCATCGTCTACCCCTTTCTTCTTCCAGTTTTGGGGAGCACGGTGAGGATTGGCGTTAGAGGCCTAAATCCCCTCACGTCCAAGCTCTGTCCAAACCACCCCTCAAAAAGCCACCCGCTGGACCAACAGAGGGCCAGCAAGAGGGCCGACCCGGCGGAGGCCTGTGCAGGCCCTCGCTCCGCATCGCAGCAGGGAACCCCCAGGAGGGTGGGCCAGCCGGGCACAGATGCGGTGGAGACGTCCCCAGGGCTCCGGAAACGCCTTACCCCAGGAGGGGTGCGCGGGAGAAGAGGGTCAGCAGGGCTGCAGGGCTCTTACCTTGCGCTTGTTGCGGTGGATGTCGCCAATGGAGTTGGCCACCGTGTTCGGGCCCAGAAGCATGCGCGTGCTGCGCGGCCACTCGGTGCTCACCAGGTGGTGCTCCCCCATGAGGATCTTGCGCACGTTCTCCGCGCCCGTCACGCGGATCAGCGGCCGCCCCAGCAAGTGCGTCTTGAACACGTTGCCGTACTTCTCCCTCCGCGAGGACTGGAAGCCGGAACCCTGCGGGAGCCACCATGGAGACCTCACTGAGGGCGCGCTTCTCCGGAGGAGGCGCACCAGAGGCCCAGCTTCCTGGGCCCGGGGGGTGGGGGTGGGGTGGGGGGGCCACCATTCAAGGCACCAGTACCCTGACCTTCCCCGCCCCCCCCCAGCAATACACAGCACGCGCGTAGGTTTTATTTTTCATAGCAAGCTCAGGAACTGGGAAGTAGGGCCCAGAGGATAATAAATAACGCGAGGAGGCGGGAGGCCCAGGGGCACCCCGCGAAAGCTGTTTTTCACTAACGACTGTCGGGAGGGAAAAGGTATCCCGGACGGCAGCACCCGAAGCTCGAGCCGCCGTCACCCTTCCTACCACCCCCAGCTCCTCCGCCTCCTCGTGGAATAAATATTTCCAGGCGCCCGGCCACGGGCTGGCGAGACCCCGTGGAGTGGCCGCAGGCCAAAGATTATTTATAGCGGTGAGCGGTCCGTGCCCCGAGGCCGTCTCCGCCGCGGGGGGCGGGATTTCCTCGGCTCTCGGGTGTGGACCGCGAGGGGACCCGGTGGCCCTTTGCGGGCTCTGCGGGGTCTGTGCGCGATCCGAGAGCCGAGATGTCCCTGATGCCACGTGCCCTGGAAATAACTGCAAAGGGCTTTCGTCGCCGCCCTGTAGTTGGGAA